TTACACTGATCTTCCAGGGTTATTTTCCCCCTTTCGGTTCTATACGTGTCCCGCCACGGCATAGCGTTGCTTGTGTTTGGTGGATCCAAATTTTCACCCCGGCAGGTAATCTTCACTAAGAGGTCGTGGATGACAGTGTCGATGGAAAGGCCATTCCCGGAATTTTGTCGCCGGGTCGACCATACGCCTGATATAGGCTAGTGGAGTGTAGGACAAGGAGGGACAACAGTTGGTTTTTGGGGACCTTAAACTGACCCAAAAATAAGTACAATCCGGACTCCCCCTCAACCAGGGTATTAGTAATGACCCCATTCAATTGGGGTTCATGAATGAGGCATGGGTTATTAGTACGATACTTGGACATCCTTGCTGGTCTTGTATTTCATCCGGTCTGCTGAAATTCGGAATCTGCTACACGCAGTTGTTTGTCCAACTGGGGTGTTGTTTTTACTTTCCCCACACTCTTAGAAAAACTCAAAATCACTAGTTATAAGTTTTGACTCATTGTTCCAGCGGAAAGGCAGTCGCTAATGGTAAGACAAATTTTACCGAATGCAACATAATTGGGTTTGGTTTAAAGTTTATTAGAATAGTTTTTGTTTACTCAACTAAGCAATCCATAATTATAATTATTTAATTTAACTATTAAATAGTAGAATAACTATTTATTGAAAACGACTATTAGTTGTTTTCTTGTTGTGATAGAAATATATTTACGTTTTCTTTTCTGATTTTTTGAGAGAAGAGAGAAGTTTAAATATTCAAAATGGATTTTGAAGGAAAATAGTGGTACACTTAGATGACGTAAAGGGTTTTTTGAAGAAAGAAACTTTTAATTGTTTATATTTTTAGGTTCGATTTTATCAAAAAAAACTAATAAAGCATTTATGAGGTGTGGTTCTGATTCAGCCAGGCGCGTGTCAAACGGCCCCGCAGACCCCGCCACGCGGGGGGGCCCCGGTATATTGGGGGCCCCCGGGCCCCCAATATACTCTAAGAAAAAGTAATACCTATGTATATAAAACAAACTCCAAAACTAGAAATATGCACATTTAAACATTTCAAATCAATATTTAATTTGTCACTATAGTGACATTTCTTTCGAACATTAAAAATGTGAACGCCCAAACAATTGTCAACCCTGGCTGGTAGAAACCTCAGTGATTCCAATTCCAATATTTAATTTGTCACTATTTCTTTCGAACATAAAAAATGTGAACGCCCAAACAATTGTCAACCCTCGCTGGTCGAAACCTCAGTGATTCCCCGTTTTAATAGAAATTTTCGGTTATTAGCAAGTCTTCGTTGTTTCACTTGTTACGTTTGAATTTTGAGTTGATATTTAAAATATTAAAATGAGTAGTTCGCGCAAATATCTGAGTGGGGCTCAAAAAAGAAAACTAGTTGAAAAAAAGGAGGAGGAGAAGAAGAAGATTGCCAAAATTGATACGTTTTTTCAAAAAAACTTCTAAAACGCCATTAACATCCGCAACCTCATCATCAAAAACAGAAGTGTATGATGATGAAACTATCCTACCAGACATTGAAGGTGAAAATATTCCCGAAAACGAAGATTCAGATTTTGAGTCAAGTCTCGAATCAGGCTCAATATTCTCCAGTGACTTAGCGCTTTTTTTAAACACTGAAAAGCAGCTTGTGCATGTTGGTCCGTATAGGCCCGAAAGGCCTATAAGTGGTTTTGCAAAAGACGACTCAAACCGATCATTTAGTGAAGTGTATTATAAGAAAAGGACATCATCTGGACAGTTGTTGGAACGGTAAGTTAAAAAATTTGCTTTAGAATAGAAAAAAGAAGATACACTTGCTTGCTTGCTCTATTTCGAGCACTCCGGCTGCGCCGTCGTGCTAGAAAAATCGCGCATGTGTTAAAGACCTTTTTATCCACTTATACTTTTATATACTATTATATTTTCTTTCAATATTTCACGCTAAAAAATAAAAAAACACTGTTTTCCAATACAAGTGTTTTATTTTTTTATTAAGATTCTGGATATCCTACTCAGTGAGTTTAAATGGAGTATACTGTCATCCTTGCTGGTTGTTTGCGGATAGGAGCAGTACCTCTTTCAACCCTGCTTGGACCACGGGAATGTTGAATGATTGGAAAGGCCTTTCAAAAAAAATTTTGACACACGAGAATGCAAGAGTTCATCTCGATGCATGTTTGGTGTATTCGACGTGGAAAGCTAATAAGACGGTGGATATATGTTTAAATGAAGATATCCATAGATTAAAAGCTCTACTGAAAAGGATTATTGACGTAACTAGAACAATTGCCATGTCTTCTCTGCCTTTCCGAGGTCATCGAGATATTTTTTCTTTAGATGAAAATAAACTAGAAGCTGACTCCTCAAAAGGCGTTTTTTTAAATATTGTCAAACTTTTAGCCAGATATGACCCAGTTCTTGAGTTGCATATTAATAGAATTAAGAAAGACATTATTTAAGTAATACATCGCAAAATCAATTTATTTCTCTTATTGCTGATTCAATATTGCAATCAATTGTTGAAGATATCAAGGACACCCCATTTTTTTCAATCATCGTTGATACGACACAGGATATAAGTAGAAAAGATCAACTTAGTCTTGTTTTTAGACATATTAAGCTCAAAAACAAATTTAAGGTTGAAGAATCATTTCTGGGATTTTACGAAATGACAGGCCAGTGTGCAAAAGATTTTGAAAGTGAAATTTTAAAAGTTCTACAGAAGTATGAAATTTCCCTAGACAAATGTAGAGGCCATAGTTATGATGGTGCTGCAAATATGAGCGGTAAGAACATTTAAATTATGTTTTTTCGACAACTAATATACATTGTACACTATACTTTTTATTGATTAAAAAAATAAAGTTGTCTTAAAAGTTCAATCATGATTAATATGGAACCTTATAAAAATAAGTTTTTTTGCAGGGAAATACGCAGGTCTGTAAGCAACATTGCCGAAATAAGAAATTTTTTTGACACAGTTCAGTCTCTCTACGTATTTTTTAGTGAAAGTCTACCTCGTTGGCAAAGCTTAAACTCCGAAATAAAAAGAAGTGAAACTGTTGGCTTAACTCTAAAAAAATTATGTCCAACTAGATGGTCGTCAAGATCCGATAGTATAATATCGTTAAAAAATAATTTTTTGTCGGTTGTCAAGTGTTTATCAAATTTAACATTAATAGCCAAAAAACGCAGTGATAGAGATGAGGCCAAGATATTACAAAATAAAATAGAAAATTTTGAATTCATTTTCTTGCTATGTTTTCAAGGTACTATTTTGGAAAATATTAATATGCTTTCAAAATTTTTGCAAAAGAATGACATTGACATAGGACAGGTAGTACAGTCATCTTAGTCAAAAAAAGGGATCAACCTCAGAATCTAACGGAATAAGCTGAATTTTTGTGAAAACCTTTATTTTAGCATTATAAATGTTGTCTCAAAAGTCACATATGCCAACGTGTGAGCGACCTTAGATATTCAAGGTCAAAGGTCGCAAAAATCAGTTTTTTAAGAATATCTCGTTTTCTCTGCCTCCTATCGTATTTGCATTTATTATAAAAGTTGTAGAATATAAAATTCTCTACAAATTTTTTTTACAAAATTTATTTATACGTCGAACCGTTTTTGAGATAGAGGGCGCAGAGTGTGGAGCGCTCAGCCATACGTACCTTTAGCGCAAGGTAAATCGTGAATCTATTATACCAGTTTTTTAATTAATTATATAATAAATATTACTAAAATAAAAGTTTATTACCTTATACTTATATTTATATTTCTTTTAAATCAAATATATTTTATCTTCATATATATCTTATATTTTAATTTAATTTTAATGAAGGATAATTGAATCGGAGTAGGAAAAAATGTTTTTATTTATATCAATATTATTAATATTATTATTAATCTTTATCTTCTTTATCCTCGTCTTCTTCAGGTTGGCCAGCAATTTCAGACTCATTCTCATCATTACTCTCCTCCACGGTTCGCCAAAAAATGAAAATTGCCGAAAAAATTGTCCAAACTTATTTTTTGTTTTAAACAATTTTTTAGACATTTTTATGATAATTAAAAATAAAATTAAAATTTTCTGACGATTGGTTTCCTTTTTATCATCAAAAATGTATTTTTGATACGTAACATTAGAATTTCTTTGAATCTATTGGTTTAAACCACAGACCTGTAGGTCTGTGGTTTAAACAGTATATATATACCTACATAGTTGCTAAGTAAACAATTGTGTCATGATCTGTCACTGTTTGTCATTATTGTCCATACAAGTTTTTCAAATAATATTTTTTTAAAATGCGATCCCACAACGAAAACAGGGCTGCAATATGTGCGTTATGTTTTAATCGTACAAAAGAAATGCGAAAAATGTTATTGAAGCAAGAAGAAACAATAAAGATACATTTTATAAAACAGTACTCGGTAAACGAAGTGGATTACCCTATTTAAACAGCACAGCCAGATATTCACTTAAAAACCAAGTTGGGCGGCCTTCAATAAACAAACTGTCTTCCAGGAAAAAAAATACAAATATTTAAATCTGTAAAAATTGCTTTGTTACTGTAAAAAAAAGGAAAATCTCATGATTGCCGCAAGAGCTTACGAACACAATATTTTGCACAACTTGCTAGTTTATGAAATTCTCCAAAATTTAAAGAAAAATTTGTTTCAACTATCATTAAGGAAAAAGTTGAAAATAGTGTTCCCAACTCATGTGTTCAATTGGAAACTGGAAATAAGGGAAAATTGAACATATTGCATCAAATAAAAAAGTCCCAACTGTTCAAAACAATGCTGTAACTATAGAAGATATCTCAGAAATGCAAAGAACTTTAAACCTAAGTACAAACAATACAATTAAATTAGCGTCTTTTTTACAGAAATCAAAATCAAATCAAAAACTAATAAAAAAATAATTCAGAGCTATGTAAAGACAAAATTACAAGAAAAGAGGCATGTATTTTAAATACATTATTTGACAAGATGACGGCAGAATTAGAAAATGGTCAAGAAAACAAGCACGAATCTGTTCAGAGAGACATTATTTTTTGTAAAGACATTTTGGCGTTTTTGGATTTTATTGTTCAGAAAAGAAACTTAACACAAAAAAATGTTGAACTCTTAAAAATTGGCCTCGATGGAGGAGGTGGCTTTTTTAAAGTATGTCTGAATATTCAGACAAAAGAAACTACTAACCGTGGGGACCTTAAAGACTCTGGAGTAAAAAAACTTTTTATTTTGGCCATTGTTAAAAACATCAAAGAAAACTATTTTAATGTTTTATATATTTGGAAACTGCTAAAAATTGATGATCTAGGAAGTTACAGTATTTCAACAGATTTAAAATTGGCAAATATTTTGATGGGCCTGATGTCTCACAGCTCCGCCTTTCCCTGTACATGGTGTCAATCCAATGCACAAAACCTAAACAATGAGGGAGATTTGCGCACGTTCGAGAACATCCGAAACCAATATTTGAGATGGACGGCAAGTGGAAGCATCCTGAAGAAAGCAAAGCATTTTTTTAATTGCATTCATGAACCTATACCTCAAAAATTAGGAGAACCTGTGATCTTGGTGATACCCCCACCTGAATTGCACTTACTCTTGGGTAATTACTATTTGTCCCGCTTATTTATTTACTTTTTTATACTTAGCTTAACTCAATAGGTTACTAGGTGCAGTTTAAAATGTTTTTCTCTACGACTACTTAAGAATAGTAACATTCTAGTGTAATTTTTGATCATAGAAAGGATGTTTTTCTGCAATACTGTGCGAGAATATTCCTACTCTTGGTTAAGAATGGTCACAAGTAACGACATCTCCTGACTGTTTACTAAACGTAAAAAATTTAAAAATATTTATATATTACTGTATTATTTATTAATTAAAAAATAATAGCAGTTGTATAATTAAGGTTTAGGCACAAAAAATTGGTTATATTTATTGTTTTTCAAATATACAAATCAAAATTATAATAAATTTGATATTAAAATGATAAACCAGTTACCTACTATACCGGCTTTGAAGTTTTGACAGATTTAAAAAGTTTAAAAAAAGACCTTTAAAATGTAGAAAAAGAATAGATGTTGACATAGATAAATAAATAAATAAAATAAAATAAAATACTTTATTTTCATCCCAAGAAACATACAGTTTATAGTGGGACACCTCTAATCATACAATTACTTGTAAAATTAGTTTTGTATTTGTTACAATGTTATTTTTTTTATTAGTTAGTGTAAATAACTATTTTTAATTATAATAAAGATTTAGGCATACCATTTGTTTAAATTTATTATAATTTACATTATAAAATTGTGACGGCACAAAATGGTTTGACAGTACAAAAACTTAAATGTCAAAAACTGCTTGGTTTCTTTTCTCTGTTTAAAATTATATAAGCGTTACTATTCTTATGTAGTCGTAGAGAAAATAATGTCTGAAACACGTTTGGAATAGCATATTCCACTCTCGTAAAACCGTCACACTCGCCTTCGGCTCGTGTGTCAAATTTTTCCTCGAGCGGAATATGCTGTATTCCAAACTTGTTACAGAATGTACTATTCTATCCCTCACAATTTTTGTTTTTTAGGCACCGTAAATACCTTATATTCCAGTCTTTTAAAACTTGTTCCAGACATTTGCAATCAATGGATAAATTTTTGTCACGTTGAAAGAGAAGAAATGCATAGAGGGTCCTTTACAGGAAATTCCTGGAAAAACATATTGAATAATTTGGAATATCTAGAGAATAATTTACCTTTGAATTTGGTTAAATATGTTACTTACTTTGAAGATTTTAAAGAAGTTACAAAAAGCGCTTTTAAAGTGAATTTGTGTCCTGATAAAAAGAAACTGGATAATTTTAAATTATCATTCAATAAATTGGGTATTAAGCCAACTCCTAAAATACGTATTTTTTCACGTTAAGGAATTTTGTCAAAGAACAAACAAAGGTTTGGGATTTTATAGTGAACAGGCCAGCGAATCAGTTCATTCTGATTTCACTATAGTATGGATCCATATTCGAATAGGTTCAAAGTGCATGAAAATAACCATAATTTTTCAAAGAAATTATTAGAAGCTGTTACTTTCTATAACAGTAGTCATATTTAAAATAAAATTAGGATTTTCTTAGGTTTTATTGTTAAATTCAATATTTTGTTAATAAAATAAAAAATAATCGTTGAAAAATTTTGATTTAATTTTTTATTATCATAAAAATGATTAAAAAATTGTTTAGAACAAAAAATAAGTTTGGACAATTTTTTCGGCAATTTTCATTTTTTGGCGAACCGTGCCTCGTTATCATTGACATTAATTGTCATATCTTTAAAAACTTACTTATAACGCGTTTGTACTTTGCAGATTTTTTTGCCTTTGTTTCCTCATCTGCGACTTCACCACAAAATAAGCACAATATTTTAAAATCAAACACATCATTCCCTTTTTTACGAGGTACAGTTGATGACGTTGAAGGTCCAGTCTCTTCAAGGCGACGTTTTGGTGTTGCAATTTTACTATAGTACGCTATAGCGTAAAATTTTCGACACTCAATATGAACGTTCACAGAATTCAAAGTATTTAGGTAGTTTATGTTTATTTCTCTCAATAATTGAGTCTTTATACCGCGCACAAAAGTTACAGAATCATCTTCAAAAAGTAGGTAACTTATTACAAATAAAACACAAATCAGCCATGTTAACCTTTAAAATATTACGAATATTACCTGTCACAACCCTAGACCTATACCTAGGGTCACAACTTGCTTTAAAATTTATTATACGTATACCTAACCTTTTTATTTATAGCTAGCCCACTATAGTATTTCCAGGTCTGTTATTTTTAAAGCAATATCTGGATCCAAGAGATTCCCAGAGACATATTCAAGGCAAATTCATTTAATGTCTTTTCTTCTTAAAATGCATTTATCATTAATTAGAATAACATTAGAATATATTTAGAATGATTTACTTCATTATTTAATTATTTGTATGTCAAAAGTAAGTAATATTTAATGACTATTTGTTTTAAAAAAATATATAAAAATAAATATAAGTAATAATATAAATATATATAATATAATTTAAGTAATATTTAATAAATAATTAATTAAAAATACGGTATAATAGATTGGGATTCATGATTTACCTTGCGTATGGCTGAGCGCTCCACACTCTGCGCCCTCTATCAAAAACGATTGGACGTATAAAAAAATGTTTTAGACAAAATTTGTAGAGAATTTTATTCTCTACAACTTGTATAAAAAATGCAAATACGATAGAAGGCAGAGAAAAGGAGATATTCTCAAAAAATTGATTTTTGCGACCTTTGACCTTGAATATCTAAGGTCGCTCACACGTTGGCATATGTGACTTTTGAGACAACATTTGCAATGCTAAAATAAAGGTTTGTACAAAAATTCAGCTTATTCCGTTAGATTCCGAGGTGAAATGCCTATATGACTGGACTACTCTCTTAAAATGAATTAGTCAAAAATAACTAATTATAAGTCATATTTGACTAATTGTCATAGCGAAAAAGCAGTCACTAATAATTAGTCAAATTCCACTGAATGAAATAGTCAAATTAGTAAATTTAAATTTAAAAAAGTTTTGACCCAGCCTGGGATTGAACTCAGGTCTGTCACTTGACAAGTTTGTCAAGCTAACCTTATAACGCATTCGGCTGTCAGCCGCTCTTATAAAAATCAATTTTATTTGTCAATAAATATTGTTCATAATATTTTAAAGTTTAATATATTATTTGTGTTGCTGTTTTGAGCTAAACTTTTTGCATCTTTATTTATTTTATGGGTCATTTAACCATGGAGAGGTATATGCATTTAATTCAAATAATACTTTGTTGTTGGCCGTAAACGATTAAAGAAATTAGTTACTTTTAACTGTCAGAAATAGTCAAATATGGTGACTAATCTTACATTAGTCAAACTTTAACTATTTACGTAGTAAAAAATAACTATTTAAAAGTAAAAACGACTATTTTATTAGTAAAAAATGCTGGTACTAATTCAAATAGTAGAATTTTGACTATTTCATTTTTAGAGAGTAAGGCAACAGATCTAATATCAGGAGTTCTTGCCAAATTAGAGAGTCTCAGAGAAAATTTTGAAAATGTGTATGAGTTATCTATTTCAACTGCGAAATCTTGACCCTCAACTGAAATGCAAAAGAGTCCGTACAGTCAAAAAATTTTTTGATGAGATTGCAGCGGATGAGCCAATTGAAAATAATAAAAATCGTTTAAAAGTTACAATTTTTAATGCTTGTTTGGATATAATATTAACTCAGTTTAGAATCAGGTATGAAGCATTTAAAAATATTTATTCGAAATTTGAAATTTTAAACCCACAAACATTGATAAACGCGCAAGAATCTGATATTTTAGCTTATGTCAGAGTATTAATAGAGAAATATCCTAACGACTTAACTCAAAATCTAGGATTGGAACTAATACAATTAAAAAATTTACTTTACGAAAAGATTAAAAATTTTCATAGCATAAGAAAGTTTTCAGATTTTATTTTTGAAAAAAATCAATTACTAATAAGTAGTATACCTGAAATTTGCACTGCGTTCCAGTTGTTTCTAGTACTTCCCGTTACATCGGCTCAACCAGAAAGGACTTTTTCAAAGTTGAAGATAATAAAAAGCTTTACGAGGTCTAGTATGGTACAAAATCGCCTTAGCTCATTGGCCATAATCTCAGTAGAAAATGAACGAGCGAAAGATGTAGATTTAGACAAAATAGTTGACAAGTTCCTTTCGTTAAGGTACAAACGTTAGGATATTTTATAAGTAGTTTTTAAAATAATGCATTCCATATCTTTGTACTTATTAGTTAAATATTTGTTGTATGTTTTCCTTGTATTAGAAGAACATTTTTTTTTAGAACTTTTCAATCATCCCTCCTATATTATAATAACATAATAATTTATAGAAATAAATTTAGTTTCAAAAATTCGCTGTGTTTTTTAACTATTAGATAATGATATTGTGTATAAATATTTACTATAATGGGATATTTTTGGAAAATATAATAGTGACATAGGGGGCCTCAAAAAAAAGTTCGCGGGGGGGGCCCCCAAAAAATTTGACACGCTACTGGATTCAGCACATCAAGAACCTTTGTAAAAACATGGTCTGGTTTCTTATTGATTATCAACTGAATCCAAAGTCCAAATAAAAAAAAACGAACTTTATGTTTTGTGCATAACATGTAGTATTACCAAGGATTCCCACATTTATATGGTTATTTATTTGTGTTTATTTTATTGTGTATGAGTCCTTCGGAGGGGATTTTAAGCCCGCGTTTCGTTCCTACCCCTAAGCTACATAAGCCATTCAGTTGGCTTTTAGGACTTCTCAGGAAGTAAGGGTAGAACTAAAAGAAAAAAAGTATTTAAAACTAAACAATAAAAATAAAATCAAAGCTTTTTATATAGTTTGCTGTACGCAATGTCATAATTGCCGATATAATTGTATTATGTAAACATTTGTTATTCAATTAAAGCAACATAAAAGTAAATACAAACAAACCGGCATTTTAATTTTAATTAACAAATCGGATTAAAAATAACGCAAAGCA